AATTGTCCAATTGTCGCCCAGTTAGATGTCGACCCGCCTGTTTATTCATTACATTAAATCACCGCCACCCTCCCTTTGGGCGCCCGCTGCAAAGGCAATTAAATGTAATTAAACGTAAGATTAACTCTAATTATAATAAATTAAATGCGACGTCGTTTTGGCTGAAGAGCCGACTCAAACGGGCCAAGGCAAATATCAAAAATGCAATTAAACATTAACAATTTGTTTCGCTGCAAAGAGGGGATCATGAATTAAACAAAGAGACAAAGATAAAACGCGGCACAAAGCGGCAGGAAAAAGTGAAATCTGAGCTGATTAAGGCCCCCGGTTAAGGCCACCATTCCCATGTCCAGTGTCCACTATCCACGCACCAGACTCGTTGGGCCAGACCAATTCCATTTGCATAATCAATGCATATTTGGATGCGGCCATAAATTAACAAATAGAATTTAATTGCATACTTTCGGGGACGGCGCCGCGGCGTCGCGTACACAAATTAATAATTCATTAATGCGCATTAATTGTTACGCTGCAGCGGCCACTGTAAACTGAAAACTGAAAACTGGAAACTGAAACTGCCGCGGAAAATTGAAAATAATTGCATATGCTTATTGGCCGGCGCACTGGGCGCTCTCCCTTTCCTTCGGGCACTCTCTATAATCGTCCCAATGCCTGGCAAATTAATTGCGGCCTTTGTTTAATCAGACTAAAATAGCGCATTTATGCCAGCTTCGTTTATATTTATTGCCTTTTTATTCCGAAGTGCATCAGTCCCCCACTGGCCCTGCCCCGTTTTGGCCATTTAAACTGCTACCTTTGTTGAGTGCTGCGGTCAACGAGCTGTTGATGCTGATGTTGCTGTTGCCTTGTTGCATTTTTGTTGCCTTGCTGCTGCTGCTGCCGCCGTGCACATGACATGCATTTATTAAAAGCCCCACAAAAAGAAGGCCACCGGCGAAGAATCAGCAGCGGGGGAGGTGCAATAATCGTGGGAATATACATTTTTCAAAGTGCGCTTTTGTGCGAGTCCTGGGAGCCATCCTCATGCTGAGCAGATTGTAATAATTGTGTAATTGTGACACACATGCGAATTATGGCTGATAGCTTTAACCAGCCGCAAATGGCAATGCGATGGACAAGTGTCGGCCAACCCAATGGCATTGTTCCTGCACACTTCAGAACCGATTGAATTTTTCACCTCAGAACTTTTATCATTTTCTGATTTGCTAGTTTGTTTACTGTCGATACAAATATAAGATAAATTTAGGGAACTTTTAGATATTTAAAAACCATATTGCATAACCATTTTTCACAATTCTGCAGTAATACAAATGTTTTGATTGGGTTAATCTCTTATTCTAACAAATTTTTAGTAAGTACGACCGTGATTAGTCATCAGAAAATTCTTAAATTAATGTACTTAAGTTTATATCTCAGAAAATCGAATGATTATCCAGGGATTTTCTTCCTAAAAGAAATATGCTAAGCAGTCCGCATTTAAAAATTTTCCTCCATAACCCGTAAAAATACTCTACTGTCACATCCTCTCAGCTTCGCATATACCCATTGGATGAAATAATTACTCAAGCAACACTCAGAAATCCCATGCTTAATATACATTATCGAATCTGTTGAACCAGAAAAAGCCTAAAGTCAATTGACTTTAATCGAATCCTTTCCCGAATCCTTTTAATTGGATCCTTTCTGCTGTTTAAGTGAAATGCTGAGACGTCTGTGTATAAACAACTTTAAAAGCAGGCTGCCCACTTATCGGCGCTCAAAACAAGCACCACACGCACCCAGTCGGACACGGACATGAGCAAGGAGCAAGGAGCCAGGAGCAAGGATAGCGAGATCCATTCACAGGGTGCCCGGCCTGCTGGCATGCAACCGGCCGCGGCCGGGAGAATCGGCCCAGGCAACTGCGTTCCATGAATTCAATCAATTTTAATGCAATTTAAATTGCATTCTCCTGTGAAAACACACAATGCACCGCCATCTACACACACACACGCTCACACATATGAGCGAGACAACCACAATGCGCCCCCGCAGATGCACAGAAGGAGAGCGAACGAGAGCGTCAGAGGCGGCAGACGTGTGCGCGCACATTATGCTGCCAGCGGAAAGGAGGCATCGCCTTGCGTTAATTGGTGGTCATGCTCCAGCCCATGGAAGGAATACGGCTCCCCAGGATGCGGGGGATAGCCAGCAACTATCCAGGCAGTCCTGCCATCCTGCCATCCGGCCATCCATGCCTGCAACTGCTACTGCCGGCGTCTTCGTTCGCGGCCGACGTTTATGTTGTTTTAAATGCCACGCATTCATTGTCGCTTCGAACGGACAGAATACAGAAGCAGAAGTGGCTTCTTCCTTCTGAAAGATCGAAATACTCTACCAGTGATTATTCAAGAGAGTTTATAAAAGTGTCATTCTGCGAAATCTTTGGTAAATAAATATATAAAAACTTGCTTTAAAGGTATTATTTTATTAATTTAAACAAACAAAATTAATAAACCAATATGTTTACCTGAAATAAATTATTCATACTCTTTACCTACAATTTATTACTAAATTAAAGATATAAAATTTATAAAAAATGTTAATAAAAAGAAACCACTTTTTAACTTTCAAACAGACTTAAATCTTATTTTTTAAAATTTACTTTTAAATTATTTCTTTTAATATTCGCAATTCCATTGGAAGAGCATAAGAATAGGTCCACTGGATGATAACTGTTGCATACCCATAGGCGCCGGAAGCCGACATGCAATTATACGTTGTCAGCGGCCGTCAGGCAACCAGCCAAAAACACATCGCAGCCATACAAGGCTACAATCATTCAATTTTCAACGGGCACTTATTCAAATACTTAAGCTGCCTAACCATTGCCCATTGTACTGGCCCAATGTCGGAATTGACATCGAAATCTGAACCTGAAACTGAATGAATCAAAGACGAAACCGGAATATGGTGAAGGGATGAACATTGGATATGCGAGAAATAATAGATAGGCCTACATAAGGAATGTGCAACACAAACTATTTATAGAAAATCATAATCATATGTATGTGCACTTTCTGGTAGTAAACCAACCACTCAACCCAGAAAATTAACAAGACCTAATGGCTTGTCTTAAGCGATAAACGGGATTTATGATATTCAATAGGTAACATACTTAAACGGCAGATGTTATTCCGAAACGATGAACAGTGAATTTGAAACAGTCTAATACAGATTTGAATAGAGAATTTAATAATTATTTGATATATTTACAGAGAACCTAGTCGAGAGAGCGTTTATGTCTGATCTGACTGATTTTAGATTAAAATAAATAAAACAGATTAGATTAAAAGTAAAGAGAGGTCTCTCAAATACAAAATATTCATAATAAAAATCATAATTATATTTAAATAATAAATGCAATTTAATTCATAGAAATTATGTGCACTTTCTGGTAGTAAGCCAACCCGTCAACCCAAAAAATTAACTAGTCTTAAAGGCTTGTCTAAAGTAATAAACGCTATTTATATATTTAAGCCGCGCAGCCCGCAAAACGTTAAACCATAACAAACATGCATGCAAGTGAAAGATAATCAATAACACTTCCCTTCAATTGATTTAGATATTTAAACGGATATTCTCGTATTTCTGTGCAGCCGCATTGTTGTGTTGAATTTTTTATGAGCTATTGCAAAACCGCAAACGGGCATTATGCAAGTGAATTGCTCATTATCGCATTTGGTTTGGTTTGTCTCTGGCATTTGAATGTATATCCTTTTTTTTTTTTTGCTTGTCTGAAATCCCTTTTTAATGTTTGCGCAATCCCTTTTAATGCGCACAATTAATTCCGTTATGCTTTGTCGCCTTTGACATGCCACGCCCCGTCCACCCCTGCCGCCCCCAAAATGTCGGCGGCCGTGTAACAATTTGCTAAAATGTCGGGGGCTTAGAGCATAATACGCATCGGGTTTTGCCTAACGCCGCTTTAAAATCCTCGCATTGCATAATTATGACCGACTCACATCGGCGGCGTAATGCGGAAAATTTTCCCAATTTTCCATGCACGGAAACGTAATTAAAATTATTTTATTTTCCCACAAACAGCCGTGGCACACACACATGACTGCAGACAGAGTTGGAGCAACATTGGAAATTAATTTTCATCTAAGCTCGGCCACCGCCCAGCATCGAAAAACCATCAACAAATTGTCAGGCTTTTCATTTATTTGCTGATTTTATTTGCCATTTTCGGCCGACATCACCTGACAAAATGTTCGTGCCCATGTTTACATACAAGCGTGTCCAAAATTTTCAAAAATTGTTATCATTTCTAGCAGCTAATGTAATGGCTTTAAGGATAAAAGTTGCTTGTAGTAAGCAGGGATCGCATATATACATTTATATATTTCCTTTTAGATCCTTCTCTTGTTAAGGAGACTCAGTTTGCTACTGGGACGAGGGAGCCACCTAAGCCGGTGTGCCGCTGCTTCCAGTTTAACTCTCATTTGATTGTCGTGGGAAGCAAATGTGAGTCTCCAATTCACGACCATTCCCAAATATCGGTACTCCCCGTATAGCGGAATCCACTGCTCCTGGATGAAGCCTTAAAGATGCCTTTTCCAGTCAACTCTCACTGTATCTGTGTAAAAAGAATTTATAAAAGTGCAAAACTACTGTCAATAAATGTGATCTGTGTAGTCTTATCGTGTATCTTATCTTGTAACAGTATTAATAAACAAATTGTAGCAATAAACAGAATTGATTAGGCAATCAACTGTTGACTAATCTAATTCCACTCTGCCGCCAAATATGTACAATCAATCAGTTTTTCATAGATAATCAGTATTAAAATTTCAAATGGGAGCTGTGTTCCCCGACTATTTGTTCCAAATATGTCACAAACAAACATCTGATTGATAAAATATATTAATTCATATTCGTATAAGATAAGTTTAATCAGAATTGTAAACAACAAACATGCCTTTTAAACAAAGACTCTATTGATTCTTAAGCTTATCTGCATGCGGGCACTTCTGGCTTTTGCCGCGCAGTAATTTATAAGATAACTTCAGGAGGATGAGTGCAACTAGCAGAGGCACACCGAAAAGCCCAGCCAAGGTGTCCAGGCTGTGAAGTTGAATGAAGGTGAGATCCCGGGATGTTGCTCGCAGGTGGGGAGCACCCTTGTGCCTAAGAACATACTCCGTCCACCAGATTGCTCGATCGAGAGCTGGCTCCGGTTGATCCCAATACAACTCCGAAATGACGGCCGATGCTTTGGCGTAGCTAGGATCTGTAAGGAGTGTTTTGATGGCTTTTTCCAATTCCTCTTGCTTCAGGTTATTGAGATCCAGTCCCAATCCAAATCCCATTCGCTGGGCACGCTTCACGTTCATATGCTGGTCGTAGATGCAAGGTAACTGCAACACCGGCTTGCCAAAGTACACACTTTCTGTGGTGCTCAACAGACCTCCGTGAGTGATGAACACCTTCACATTGGGATGGGCCAGGATGTCTGGTTGGGGATACCACTTCTTGATCAGTACATTCGCCGGCTTTCCCTGCAACTCATCAATCTCAAATTTCCATAGCACGCGTTGTTTCAGTTTCGCAAAGGTTTTCAGCAGAGTATTCCGAGTTTCCTGGGGAAGATCCTTGCTCTTCACATTGGATCCCATGGAGAAGTAGATGACACCCTCGGGAGAGCTCTCGATAAACTGTTTTATGTCCTCGGGCAGGGGCTTCGGGTTGTGGAAAATGTGCACTCCTCCGACCTCGATCATGTTGGGCAAGTAGGGCCGCGGATGGCTTAGGGAGAAGTGCTGGCCCAGCAGTATGAATGAAAAACTGTCCAAGACCGCAGTCATGGTTTTCTTGGAGTTTGGAAAGTACTTTTTGAACATCTTTTCCATAGCTGGCAAGTGAATCCAATGCCGGTAAACTTCCTGAACCACAGTTTCGTAGACATTGCTCAACCGTTCAACAAAGGTCATCCGATTGGTGCGGGGAGAGCTAGCAATTGCGTTATACGACATGGGAGATATGTTTCCCATAACCCCATCGACGTGGTTGTCTGTTCCAAAACTAGAGAATCCAGCCAGAGTGGCATTGAAATGCTGAGCAAATGCATACAGTGGTTCCATTTGGATCATCTCAGCCAACACCAGATCAAAGGTTTCTCCGGAGTTCAGCAGCTGCTTGACACTATCATCTTCCAGTGTTATCTCGGTGAATTTAGCCACAATATAATCCATTGCCTTAAGTTGCTGCCAAAAGAAAGGTTCATTGAGCAAACCCAACATTTCTGAAGTGTAGTAAATTATATTATATTAAGAAATTTAAAGTTAAATTTTAAATATGAAACTAACCGTCAGAGAATTCGTGACCCTTCATAGCCTCGATGAACCTCATGTTCGGAGTTGCCTTATTTCTGAAGGCATTGATCACTGTCACCTGGTGGCCCTTTGCGGCTAAAGCCTTCAAATAGGTCTCCATAAAGATGTACTGAGAGCGCCCTGAAAACGGAAAGGTAGCCAAAATCTTGGCACTCTCCATTTCCAGAGGTTTGACGCTCAAAGTGCAAAGCACCAACGCGATCACAGCCAATAGCTTCATTGTTACTCGACGAGTCCCTAGCAACGACTAACTGAGCGGATCGCTGAATTAACTTTATATATGAAGATATGGGAAGAGCCTTTACTGATACTGCGAGCGAGCTTACAAAATCGACTATTAATGCTTATGGATTAAATTTGCCTTCTCACCGCTAATACAAATAGGAAATAGTCGGCACTTTCAGAGCGGTTAGATTTGAACGAACAATGGCTCCCTAAGTTAGGATAGTTCAGGTTCTATGTAGCTGTTGTTTAGTTGCTATGTCGTCACCCGATCAATGCTCGTATCTTTATAGACTCTCCTTCAGGTTTGTTTTATTTGAAGAAATAGCACTTCCTAGAGCGGTCAAGAAACTATATTACATTTCGTTAGAAATATAAGAAAATGGTCTTTGATCATACGCTCCTCGTACGTAATGGAAGCAGCGTTTTGTCACAGATTTGAAGCCTTCTGCTTCATGCTGGTCCGAGGCGAAACGGTACGAATATAGCGTGTTCCGTTCGACTGAAGTGAATGGACCTGTTGGTAGTGATTAGGTAATATTATAATATTAACTGAAAGGTAAATCTTCTAAATATAAAATTAGAAGAGTCGAAAAGAAAGAAGATTTTAAAAAATTCATAAATAAAGATTAAGGAATTGGGTTACCTGTAATTTTTCCTGAGAACAAATTGATGGCAATAATTAAAAATAAAATCAGCTAATTTGACAATAATATATCTCTTAAGTTGCCACTCTAAGTTACTGTTACCGACTAAAGACCCGTTATTGCCTCTGGTCTCTGGTCCTGTAAATCTTTCAGTACGTAATTCGAGCGAATTAAAAATAAAAAACAAAAAATTTTATTTTGTTATAAAAGTTGAAAACTAAGAATTCAATTATTTTTTTTATAAGAATAATTTTATTATGAATTAAATTTTTTTTTTTTTTTAGAGTAAGAAAAGAACTCTTATTTTTATTGTAAAAATTTGAAACTGTTATTATCCATGGTAGTAAGGCCTTGCTAAAAAGCTTAAATAATTGTGTCTTGTAATCAATTTATTTTCTCTTTTCAACATCATTCACTTATTTATTATTCGATCATATTTTATTCGACATACTTTATATATATGTGCACAACTTTTGGACAGATGCGCCACAAGCACCTGCAGGATCCTTGAAAAGAAATCAACTCACACAAAAATAAGGCAAGCCAAACCCTAAATATATATACATATATGTATATCTACGGATAAAAAAGATGCCAACGTACAAAAGCATTTTTTTCTTTTTGTGCTCTCCGGTTTTGACTGCATATTTCATAGAAAAAAAAATACAAGGAAAACGCCTAAAAATAAAAATAGTCGTGGACGAAAAAAATGAAAATGCTAAACAAAGAAAATAAAAGCAAGCAGCCAGCTTTACAAAAAATGGGCGCAAGGCACAACTAAAAGCCAAAAGAAAAATGCCGCGCTTTGGCCAAGAGACGGGGTGTGGGGCGGGGGCGTGGTGGTCAGGATTCAGGGTTCAGGGGGTTAGGGGTCAGGGGTCACAGAGGGGTTCAGCTCGCATTATTTTGTATTACAGCAGCAACGTCCCCTGCACATTCAGCAGAGTCTCCCAGAAAGAGAGAGTGAGAGCAAGAGCCGACCCGGGCTCAGCTTGTATTGCAATTTTTCAATTTCAAAAACAATTTTGCTCTGCCAACATACGTGTGGTCAAAGATAAGCTCTGTAAATATATATAACAAAACAAGCAAAATGAATGCGGCCAGCGCGGAGGACTATAAAAAAGCGGAGCGCGCCATAAAAACCAAAAAGCGGCAGCCAAACCGAAAACCAAAGCCAACCGCAGCTCAAGCAGCTATTGCAGCAGCTCAAAACTGGCCAAAGCCAGAAAGGCGGTCAGTAGCAGCGCTGAAAAAAAAGCACGAAATACTTGGACTCGTCCTCGTACTCCCACTCCCACTCCCACTCACACTCGCTCCGAAAATAAAAATCCTATATGTATGCTGAGTGTCAGCTTGCCACACAGCGGGAAATTGCACAAAAATGAATTGTGTTGTGCAGCATTTAGTGCTGAAATATAAGTGACCTGCTGGGCGGGACAACAGAACAGGGATTTTTGAGTGGGAGGCAGGCGGCAGATCTCCCAGGGTCGACGTCGAGGAGCCGTGGCTTCTGGGGAACTGCCAGGGGCTTCAGCAGCTCGCTGCCCGGATTGATTGAATTTTCCCTGCATCTGCCATCAAGTCAAAGTTGCAATAAGACTGAAATGCCATTTAGATTTTCGCTCTTCATAAATATATATTCGAGTGTTGGAATGTTGAGGGGATACCCGAGAGATTTATATCTTATATACAGAAATAATAAATTAATTTAATAGATAATCTGTCTTGGATTTAAACTAAATACTCTAATTTAACCAAGTGAAACTATAAGTATATAGTTACTACTTTCCCATACATTGTTGGTATTTTAGTTTTATAATATAAAATATTCATGTAATACAACCCACATCTAGCTATAATTGTTGTGTATACATGCCCAGCATCCTGAAAATCAATGTCTGTGTGGCATCGAAAAGCGATAACAATTACTGCAGGTGCATGGCAAGGACTTGCAGCTGTTGCTAAATATGCTGGTATTGGTACAGAAGTGGCGGGAAAGCTCCTGCTGAGTCCTCTCACCGCATGCACAAAGCAGCTTGGCAAGGACTCAAGTGCATTAATGTTCTGTCCTGTGGTTAGCGCAATGCGTCGGAGTTATTACGGGCGCGGTGACTGACAATGGCAGCAGCATTGGGTGAAACGTAGACTCGGTACAAACTGATTCGAAAGCCACTAACCTGACTATTGCAAGTTCGATTTGATAGTTGGCTGAAACGCAGAAGTTAGGCCGCATTTAACGTACGATTCCTTCAGCAACACCATTGCGTATGGGTAATATTTTAGTGTTTCAGGAAATATATTCCAGAAAATCCGTATCCTAGCAAAACTTGCCCCAATTAAGTAAAGGTTTGAGCACACTTCAGTGTACTAAATTTAAAATAAAAGCGAGTTTGATTAATTCGCAGCCTGCCTTCCAATAGGACGCCCTTTTTGTGAGCGCTGAAAATCTGGTGAGCGTTGGGTGAGTTAGTGCATCGGCTCTTGGCGGAAATCGAATTCATTTGGGGCTTTGCCTGCCCTGCGGCAACAGTGCGTATGTGCAATGTGGCTTTCGCTGCAAGAGCGCCAAGCAAATTGACAAAAGCTTGGCGGCAGTCAGAGCGCCCCAAGGCACTCAGCGGTTGTTGGTGGCAGCGGCAATAACACAAAACCGCAAATCCCTAAGCCGCTATAACATTTCTCAAACGCTGCCAAATGGCGTATAGAAAAAGGGAAAAGGCAGGGGGCAATCCGAGGGGAAAGCGGAGCCAATCGGGGAATCGAAACCGGCGTAAGCCGCTAAAAGAAGCAGCTGCAACTGCAACTGCATCCACAGACGAGCCGAGCCAAGCCAAGCCAACTGGAGCATGGCGAAGGCAAACAAAGGCTTAGCGGGCATAAAAACAAAATGCGAAATGCGCTTCGGCGAAAGCCAACTCCCAATCGGAGCTCGACTCCGCGTCCAATCCCGACGAGGAGCAAATCAAAGCAAATACAACCCGCGATTGCCATTATCGAAAACTAAAGCAAAAGGACGCTGCGCTGGGCTGCCTTTGAAAACAGCAGCAAATGGCCCTGGCTGTGCTAGGAAAATGCCTCAATGAAAATTTAACTGCATTCAGTCCAAAAATCTCTAGGGTAGTGCTGCCACTTTGTATCTTTTCCGGTTAAATCTAGACTTTTTGAACAGATTAAATCGAAAAATAGTTTAACTTATTTGCAAGTATTAAATTTGTCTCTATTCATCTTTCTTTCTTTGTAAACCAAAGTATAATTCATATTAAAGTGATTAATAAATACAATAAAAACAGATTAATTTATTAGTATACATGTATAGTATATAAGATCCTAGAAATATGTAGATATTGTTAAATAAGAAATCCCACTATACAGAGGCATTATCATACCTTTACCAATATATATTCGTTAATATTTGAAAGGTCCTTGTTTGATTTTGCATTTCTCCTGGTAATGCAAATATTCAGTTAATAATATATTTAATATCTTAATATATAGAGATATAAACATATATATTTATATTTGCTTTGTCCCCTTTATGAAGTGGTTTGTTGACATCACTGCCGTAAGGCTGGGATTTTAATATTAAAAACCGCGTAACGGAGTGCAATAGAAAAAGAGAACCAGAACAGTGAGCTCGGAGAAGGAGTGGAGAAGGAGTTGGGCAGAAATGTAATAAAAAATTCGTTAAGGCCACCAATAAAATTTCTTTTTAGTCCAACGACCACAAAAAGTCAATGTCCAATGGTTAAAGGTAAAATGAATAAGTGTAGATGGAAGTAAATCAATGGCAAACATAATTTTAACAGAAAAAGACTATTTAATGTTCACTCTTAATGTGGCTTAGAGACGTATCAATTACACATTTTTTATTTTTTATAATTTAAAGTTGGTAGGCAGAATTAATGACTGAATTTTAATTTTTAATGTTATAGTTAAAAAAAATATATTTATAATTTTTGTTCAGAGAAGGATTTGTGGCTATTAATATTGCCTTGAAATACAAATGACATTTTATCAGTAAATGTGTATAGCTGTAAAGTATTAAACAACAACAAATTAAGGCTGCCTGCGATTATATCGACTATGTGTAGCAATAAAGAGGACTGTAGCCGGCCAGGCCGACGACGTTGATCACATTCTTGGCCAATGGCCCGGACTTCTCACTTCCGGCGAGGCCATCAAGTATGCAGCGCATACACGCGCACTTGCCACGCATGATGGGGCAAGTGGAGCAGTAACACAGGTGGCACCACCACCAACGGCATATCAAAGTCCACCGCCCACCGCCCGCCAGCCGCACCTGGCCAGGTAACTGAGTTAAGGAGAGCCCTGGCAGTGGCAAGAAGCTGCC